CTCCTTCAGGTGTCTCTCAGGTAGACCCTCCCGTGCCTGCGCCTGTTGAGGTCACTGGTGACTCAGGTCCTGCTGGGGGTGGTGCTGTCCCTGGGGGTACGGAGTTTGGGGGTGCGGAGCTTGGGGGTGCGGAGCGTGGGGGTGCTGAGCCTGGGGGTGCGGAGCCTGAGCGTGAGGACCCAGGAGGTGCTGAGACTAGGGGTGCGGAGTCTGGGGGCGCTGAGCCTGAGCGTGAGGAGCCTGAGGGTGCGGAGCCTGGGGGTGCTGAGCCTGCGCGTGAGGAGCCTGGGGGTACTGAGTCTGGGGGTGCGACGCCTGAGGGTTCTGAGACTGCTGTTACGTGGTCTCCTTGGAGTAGCCGCCTTCGTCCGCGTGTGCCTCTCACCTCACAGCAGCTGCACGACTGGTACGGTCGCCGCCAGGGTCGCGCTTCTGGAGCTCGGGGCTCTGCTGCGGGAGGTACTTCTGCTGACGTCACTGGAGCTGGGAGTGGTGCTGGTCCTTTGTCTACTGGAGGTGCTGGAGTCGCTGGTCCCGGAGGTGCTCATACTGGAGGTACTGGAGCTGCTGGGGCTGGAGGTGCTGTGTCTGAGGGTGCTACTGCTGGAGACCCTGGGTCTGGGGGTGCTGCTGCTGGAGGCACTGAGGCTGGAGACCCTGGGACTGGAGGTGCCGGTTCTGGGGGTGCTGCAGCTGGTGGAGCTGGTCCTGGAGGAGCTGTCGCTGAGGGTTCTGGAGCTGCTGGAGGTGCTGGAGCTGCTGAGGGTACTGGAGCTGCTGGAGGTGCTGGAGCTGCTGGTGCTGGTGGCACTGCACAGCCGCGCCTGTTCTTCGCTCCGCCGTCTCCGTCGTCTCAGCCACCGCCTGACTCTGCGCTTCGCCAGGTTCTCAGTCTCCCTTCGTCTACTGGTCTTCCGTTACAGCCTGGCTCACCGCTGCCTGCTCCTTCTCCTTACACTGAGCAGACAGGGGGCCTTGCTGAGCGTCGTGAGCCTGCGTCGCGTCCTATCTCGCCTGTCCGTTCTGGTCGTTCCGGTCGTCGTGTTCCTCGTCCGCGTCAGCCGGCTGTCCCCGGCACCCACCTTGTAGTCCGTCGTCCTTCCTCTCCTCCGCAGCGTGTTCTTCTCTGCCTGACGTTGCGGACCCTGAGTCTGACCAGTTTCGTACTAAGCACCCTACTGTCACGCGTCTGTTAGCCACTGTTGTCACTGACCCGTCGTTTGAGTCCACTGCTGCGTCTGCCCTAGTCGCTGAGCTTGTCGACTTTGCTGCTGCCTGTCGTCTAGACTACGCTGCTAGTCTTGTTGCTGAGTCTGAGTCTGTCTGTCCTCCGTCCGTCGGGGGTGAGTGTGCTCTTAGCACGGACGTCCTTGAGGACAGGCACGAGGACCTTGAGTGTCTTGCGGCCGCTGCGCCTCATCTCGTGGCCATGCTGCTTGCCCCTGAGGGAGACCCGGATGCACCAGACATCCCGACCCCGCGCTCTTACGCTGAGGCGATCGCGGGTGAGTACTCTTCTCAGTGGCAGACAGCCATGAACGCAGAGATGGCATCCTGGAAGTCCACATGCACGTACGTCGATGAGGTTCCCCCTCCCGGGGCGAACATCGTCGGCGGCATGTGGATTTTCAGGGTGAAGCGGCCGCCAGGTTCTCCGCCTGTCTTCAAGGCTCGTTACGTTGCTCGAGGCTTCAGTCAGCGAGAGGGAGTTGACTTCTTCCAGACCTTCTCCCCCACCCCGAAGATGACCACTCTTCGGGTGCTGCTGCACGTTGCCGCTCAGCGTGACTACGAGCTTCACTCTCTTGACTTCTCCACAGCTTTCTTACAGGGCAGCCTGCACGAGGAGATTTGGCTGCGCCGCCCGCCTGGCTTCACTGGGTCGTTCCCTCCTGGTACCCAGTGGAGCCTCCGGCGGCCGGTCTACGGTCTCCGCCAGGCGCCATGTGAGTGGCACGACACACTGAGGACGACACTTGCGACTCTTGGGTTTGCTCCGTCGACTGCTGACCCGTCGCTGTTTCTGCGCACCGACACTTCGCTGCCGCCGTTCTACATCCTCGTGTACGTCGACGACTTGGTCTTTGCCACTGCTGACACTGAGGCTCTCGCCCTGGTGAAGTCGGAGCTGCAGAAGAGACACATGTGCACAGACCTGGGTGAGCTGCGCAGTTACCTTGGCTTGCAGATCACCCGGGACAGAGCACGCCGCACCATCACACTGACTCAGTCACACATGGTGCAGCAGGTCCTTCAGCGCTTCGGCTTCACCTGGTCCTCGGCACAGGCCACTCCTCTGGCTACAGGTCACTCGCTCTCAGCTCCACCTTCGGACGAGTCCGTAGAGCCGAGTGGTCCTTACCCAGAGCTGGTGGGCTGCCTCATGTACCTGATGACCTGCACTCATCCTGACCTTGCGTACCCTCTTGGCCTTCTGGCTCGCTACGTGGCTCCTGGTCGGCACAGAAAGGTGCACATGGATGCTGCTAAGAGGGTACTACGCTACTTGTGCAGTACATCGGGCATGGGGCTCGTGCTTGGAGGACGGAGCGACGTTGTCCTCACTGGGCACTCAGACGCTTCTTGGGTTGACGACCAGGCTATGCAGCGGTCGTCACAGGGTTACACCTTCAGCCTTGGCTCTGGTTCGGTTTCTTGGCGTTCTACACGCTCGTCTTCAGTTCTCAGCTCCAGTTGTGAGGCTGAGATCTAAGCCACAGCCATGGCTGCACAGGAGTTACGCTGGCTCATCTACCTGCTGACCGACCTGGGAGAGCGGCCTCGTTCTCCTCCAGTGCTGTACGTCGACAACAAGGCCGCCTTTGCCTTGTGTCAGGAGCACAGACTGGAGCACAGAACGAAGCACATCGCTCTGCGTTACTTCCTGGCTCGAGAGTTGCAGCAGCGTGGTCAGCTTCGTCTTGCTCACGTGGCCACTCGGGCCAACACTGCTGATATATTCACCAAGGCACTTCCGTCTAGTGATCATCAGCGTTTCTGCACTTTGTTAGGCCTTGTGCCCACGTTTCCTCACTTGCTGTAGACTTTGCTTGTACTGTGATCTACATATATATACCTGCATGCTTACTCTTGCTAGGTAGTGATCACTGTACTGCTGTTGTTGCATATATACCTCTGCATGTGAACTGGCCTTGTGGCCCTCTGTTTGTGCTCGGTGTGTGTGGTGACGTTGTGATCCACCCCGAGCTTGCTTTGCTTTTCTTGACAGGTCTTGTGACCCCTTGTTCTCCCCCACTTTGCCTATGGGGGTGTGTCAAATTATATGTCTGTCATAATAAAATGTAGGCTTTAGTGGGGTAGCTAATGTAGGGTAAAGGTTTTGTTACTTGTACCCAACTTTCTCGATAGTGCAACAACCTTTTCCCTTTACTCTCGACACGGCCTACTCCGCAAAAAAACCACGCCCGTCAAACTTACGGGCCTGACCGTGGGGCGGGGGCTTCACCATCGCCCGCCAGCGATGGGTCAGCCATGGGCGGTCAGCACGGGGAGGCTGACTTTTGAGATACGGCGTCGAGCAGCTAGAAAAATGACGGGGAAAACGAGGAATCTTTATGGTGAAACTAGGGTTTTGTTGAGACTCATCAGAGGATGGAGGAAGAGACGAAGCATATGGTATGATCCACGTTCCCAAACAGAACACATGGCGCCGCGACAACAGGTGTATGCGCTGGCGAGGAAGTCGCGGGGCGACAGGCAGTGCACGCTTGATTCCAGAAGGTTCAGCATCGCGTCGCAACGCATGGCACCGCGTGAAACCTGATTGATGTGGACGAGGTTGTGGGTGTGGGTGGGATAAGGGACGAGTTTCATGGTCAGGAGGGAAGCGCGTGCCAACTGCATCCTGCAAAGTTGCCAACATGCAGGATGTGCATTTCTTTCAAGTCCGAACAGTGTCCAAATGATACGTACAAAGAATACACAAGTCAATATAGGCAGTTCATTCTTTTACGGTAATAACTCTCCCATATGCTTCACATCAAAGCGGCAAGTGTGCTCTAAAGCAGGATCAGCGATGACTGTCCCATTACCCAACATGCCTGCGAAAATAGCAAACGTGCTAATGTACCGAGTGAAGCTCAGCAGCACTGCTCCCTTGCTTAAGAGTGCAAAATCCGCCAACGTCGCCAAATAGTCCCCACCAGATTTTGACAAGTGAACAGCAGGTGATACCGAGAAATACACCTCGCCAAAAGGTCGTAAATTTTCCACCACTTGTGATAGAAAAACTTCTGTATCTGTAGACACAAATACCCGCAGGTGGCCTAAATGAGTGGCTGAGGGTCCGCCAGGTGGCACGATGGAGGCCACAAGAAGCGAATCATCAACCGTCCATTCATCCTGCAGCCTCACCCTTTGCTGAAGCTTCCTCCTCCTTTCCTTCTTAGTCCCTACTTTAGCACTTTCCCGTGGATACTCTGAAAGCCGCGAGAAGGGAAGGCAAGGGGCAAAAAGGGTGGATTTTACAGGCGGGATACGAAGGGAAGGCAAGGGGAAAGCAACAGAGGAAGGTGCAGGTTAGAATATAAGGATGGGGTGGAGTGGAGAGCCAGGGGGGATGGAGAGGCAGCACTGGGGTTTTCTTGACTCATAGTAGAAGGGCTGCAGTACCAGACGATACACTTTACCGTTAGCAACAGCATGAGAGGCTCAAGGGTTAACGGTCTAAAACTCGTGCGAAAAGAAAAAAGAGGTTCTGAATATAAGGACGGTTTGGAGTGGAGAGCCAGGGGAGATGGAGAGCCAGCACTGGGGTTGCAAGGAGGGATGCGAAGGCTGATGGTGAATGGGGTGACGGTGAAATGGATGATGGTGAAATGGATGATGGTGAAATGGATGATGGTGAAATGGATGATGGTGAAATGTATGATGAATGGTGGTGAGTGGTTACACTTGTTGCTGTTTGCTTGTTGTTTTTTCCTGTTTGCTCATTGTGTTGTTTTGTTTGTTTTGCTCTTTAGATGTTGCCTTTGCTGTACCTTTGCTTGACTCGGTGGCAGCGTTGACCTCAGCATGAGGGGGTTGACCGTTGACTACCCCAACAGTACTGCCTATAGCGTTGGCAGAACCATCAGCAGCAGCTGTAGCATTAGTGAAACCACCCGCAGCGGTTGTAGCATTGGGAGACCGGCCAGCAGCGGCTGCAGCATTAGTGAAACCAGCAGCAGCAGCCTTCTTGATCCGCAGGAACTGCATCAGTCTGGCAATGCAGCGCCACTGCCGTGGCTTCATGTATGCATGCTCTCGGATTTGCTCTCCCTTCTGCGCTTTCTCCTGGCATTTTTTGTCCTTGTTGACACAGTAATCGCCCTCCACGTGGCTGGAAAGGCAGAAAGAAGGGGAGAGAGAGAACAGTGTGCAGCACATGAGCACGGATAAGGTCACTTTTGAGGCGCCTCAAAAGTCGCCTCAAAAAGAGAGCAAACAGTGTGCAGTGCATGCGCATGGATGGGATCTCCCTGCTGCACTCTCTCCCAGCATTTCCTGTCCTTGTTGATACAGTCATCGCATATAGACCACACACAACCTTATCCAGAAAATACCACCTGAGAACACCCTTTTCGACTTGAACTCACATAGCATGCCCACGGATGTGCAACGCCACGTCAAACTGCAGCCTTAACCCCTCCCCTTTCTTAACCATCTGCGGCTCCACCTTCCCTTCTGTCACCCCCCCCTCCTTCATCCCCCCCGCTTCCCCTCGGAGCACCAGAGGCGGCACCACCCTCAAGTCTCTGTCGACCACCTCTTGCATTCCCGGCCTGGGGCCCTTGCCGAGGAGCAGAGAGAGCACTTTGGAGCGGATGCACCAGAGGGAGGTGCAGGAGAAGGTGTCGTGCACGCACTGGTTCATCTGATGGTCGCCACGCCACAATCTGTCGAAGAATTTACCTGAGAGTGATGGATGGGATGCAAGCGCAAACAGGCAGGGAGAAAGGAGGACAAGCAGGAGGAGCAGCAAGCGCAGTTCTTGTTGCAGCAGAGGGAGTGGTGGCCAAGGTTGGTATTATGTATGTTTCAGCATGAATCAATCTGCATAAACATGCATCAGCATTTAATTTGCACGAGTATTTGGGCCGCTTGTATCGAGACGACCCTAGAAAACGATTGGCAGGAAAAGTTGATGTGATGTCATGTACAGATTGGTGAGAAAATGTAGGAAAAATATCCTCAGATAAATGAGCAAGAAAAAAGGTAGTAGCACTAAAGGAATCAATGGGTTTCTGGGTGTTGTTCAGGGGGACTAAGGTAGTGGTTATCGCTCGCATGCATTCGCATACATAAATGAGATGAGTAGCATACCTGAGTAAACAGCCACAACATTTGGGCTGTAGTCAAAGCCATGAACCTCTAGCTTCCGTGAATCCATGAGCTTCGCATGCCTGCCGATATCCCCTTTATATTGCAGCTCGTCTATCCCACAGTAGAATGCGTTGCACAAACGGTCTAAGACCTGGGGAATGTGAGGATGAGGGGAAGGGGTGACTTTTGAGTCAACTAAAAAACACATGCGTTACACAAACGGTCTGAGACTTGGGATATGTGAGGATGGTGAGAAGAGGTTGCACGACATGGAAGTGCGAAAAAAGGTGATGTTACTTTTGAGAGTTCTCAGAAGTGCGGAAAAAGGTGGTGCATAGAGGGATGACGACTTGATGATGTGCAAGTATTTTTCTGAGATATTTAAGAACCTTACTTATAATGTGCAAGTGCGTTTTAAGACCCTTCAATGCTTGACTCACGTGATACCAGGTGTTGACTTTTGGAAAACCAAAGGGTATTCTTTTTTATATTCTAAAAATGGAAGTGGTTTCTTGAGAAACAAGGTGGGTTTCTATAAAAGTATTTGGTTGCAGTTTAGACGAAGGCTATGGTTTGTTTACAAAGCTGGTGGACATGAGCCACGGTTCGACCCAACCAGACCCGACCCGACCCAACCTGACCGACCCGACCCGACCCAACTTAATCCGACCCGACCCGACCCGACCCAGCCCAACACAACCTGACCCGACCCGACCCAATTCGACCCGACCTGACCCAATTCGACCCGACCCAACTTGATCCGATCCGACCCGACCCGACCCGACCCAACCTGACCTGAACCGACCGAACCCGACCCGACGCGACCCAACCTGACCGATCCGACCCAACTCAACCTGACCCGACCCGACCCGACCCGACCCGTCCCGAACCGACCCGACCCGACCCGACCCGACCCGAACCGACCTGACCCGACCCCACCTGATCTGAATATGCTTGATCGATCTGATACGGGTACAGGAAATGATAAGAAGCTGATGGGAACTGTGGTTGCTTCTACGAAAGGGGGTGGCTGATGGGAAATGAGGTGGTTTGTAGGGAAGGGGGTGGTTGATGGGAAATGCGGTGGTTTCTAAGAAATGAGATGGCTGTTGGGAAATGAGGTGGTTTCAAGGAAAGGGGGTGGCTGACGGGAAATGAGGTGGTTTCAAGGAAAGGGAATGGCCGATGGGAAATGAGGTGGTTTCAAGGAAAGGGGATGGCCGATGGGAAATGAGGTGGTTTCTAGGAAAGTAAGTGGCTGAGCTAAAAGACAAGGCATACCAAATTGAGAAACGGGAACAAGGGAGGTGATGCAGGAGAGGCATGGGAGTGCCATGAAGCTATGGCGCGTTTGCAATGCTCTCATCCTCACTCCCGGAGGCCCATGCCCACATGACCCCATGCCCTCATGACCCCATGCCCATATGCCCCCCTTCCATGCTTTGATTATGCCACACGCCTTGCCACTCACCTTCTTGTGAACGCCTCTATCTTATGCAGTACGCCCATATACACGCCTCCGTTCTTCCCCCACATTCACATGCCACATGCTCGTCCCATACCCTCCCTGCCCTCACCTGCTTGTGGTTTCCCCCATGCCACCGCAGCAGCCGCCTTCCCGACAGCAGAGCAAAAACGAACGCGGAAGTGTACGCCCTCATGGAAATCCCCAGCCCTTACACTCACACCCTACACCCGAAAACCTGAAACCCTCCACACCATAAACCCTGAAAACGCTTCACCTGCTTGTGGTTACCCCCATGCCACCGCAGCAGCCTCCGTCCTGACAGCAAAGCAAAGATGAACGCGGAGGTGTATGCCCTCAGCGAGTTCCCCAGCCCAAAGCGCGGCATCCAAATGAGCCAGCGCTCCTTCAGCATGAAATCCCGCTGGTTTTGAGGGATGGGCTCGTGATTCTCCTGCTGGTCTTGACGTATGGGCTCATGATTTTCTTGCTGGCGCTGCACTTTGCTGAGAAGCTTGAGCTCTGTTGTACCAGCGTCAGAGCCCCATATGGGGGCGTTGACGTAGGCTGATTCAGGGAGGGTGCCTTTACACGAGGGGGTGTTCTGAAAAGAAGGGGAGGGAAGGGGAAGGAACGGAGAATACTTTTGAAGCGCTTCAACACCCGCGGCATCCAAATCAGCTAGCGCTCCTTCAGCATGAAGTCCCGCTGGTCTTGAGGGATGGGCTCGTGATTTTTCATCTGGAGCTGAACTTTGCTGAGCAGTTTGAGCTCCGTTGTACCAGCGTCAGAACCCCATATTGGGGCGTTGAAATAGGCTGATTCAGGGAGTATGCCTTGACACGAGGGGGTGTTCTGAAAAGAGTGGGGTGGGGGGAAGGGGGAAGGGAATAGGGGGGAAGGAGGAATGCGCTTGTGATTCTCTTGCTGGAGTTGCAATTTGCTGCAGAGATTGAGCTCTGACACGTGTTTTGAGACGTCTCAAAACACGCAGAGATTGAGCTCTGAAACTCCAGCGTCAGTCAGAGATCCATGTGTGGAGGACCTCTGACATGGGCTGATTCGGGGAGGATTAAGCATGAGCCGGCAGGCCAGGCGGGTACCCGGGTCGGGTCGGGTCGGGTCGGGTCGGGTCGGGTCGGGTCGGGTCAAGTCCGGTCGGGTCGGGTCCGGTCGGGTCGGGTCAGGTCGGGTCGGGTCTGGTAGGGTAGGGTACCCGGGTTTGGTTGGGTCGGGTAAGGTACGCGGGCGGCGGGCCTGACTCGCCCGGGGTCAGAGTTCTGAGAATATTCGCCCGACCCGGGCAAAGATTCGGGTTGGATCAGCCCGACCCGACCCAACTGGATGTCCTGCTCATGCCCAGGGAGGATGCCTTTTCAAGAGGGGGTGCTCTGCAAAGGGTGTGGGGGAAGGCACAGCGAAGACAGAGTTACATGGGCAACGCCCGTCGTGCTGGCGCAGTCCCGCATGAACATGCCACAGCCACAGTCGCCTACAAGCAGCCGCGGTGCTGCTGACTCACAGCGCGGTCACGCCAGCTGGCGCCCGGTCGACTTTCGAGTCAACTCAGAACTTACCTTCACGCCATACTCGGTGTCGGCACGACAGCTGACACACAGCCTTCCCACGGGCCACTGCCATTGGTAGCTAAGCATTTCACTTATTTTCGCTTACCTTGATGTCGTACCGGGCGTCGCCCCGCATGAACATGCCGTGCCAGCTGGCGCCCGGCCTCTCAACGGGCCACTGCCACTGGTAGTATCTTTGCGGGTCCGCTTTATTTCCCGCCTCCACGCCCAGAATTTCCTCTTTATTGCCCGCCTCGTTTGCCCACCGAAACGCCGATGCGGCTTCCTCCCACGGCCCGCCCACCCACCCATCCACCAGCCTCCTCCTTCTCCCTTTCCTGCTTGGCTTTTCAATCACTGTTCTCTCCGACTTCTCCGGCAGCCCTGCCATCCACCCATCCACCAGCCCCCCCCTTTTCCCTCTTGGCTTGTCAATTACTGTTCTCTCTGTATTCTCCGGCACTCCTGCCATCCATCCGCCCACCAGCCTTCGATTCCCACCGGCCGCCCTCCCGATTCCCGGCTTGGTTACTCCTCTCCTCACTCCTCTCCTCACTCCTCTCCTCACTCCCCCCAATCTCTTCGAATCACTCCGCTCCGCCTCTTTTCGCCTGCTAGTCCTAATCCCCGTGCTCTTCCTCGCCCTTTGACCCTCAACACCCCCCTGCCCTTTTCTTTCAGGACTGCTTTCTCCCTCCCACGCATGGATCTCCCTAAAGACAGACTCGATAAAGTCTCCCTCTTCCCCTTCCTGATCTATCTCCCCTTCTCCCGCCTCCCCCTCTTCCTCGTCGGTCAACTGGTTTGCATCCCTTTCATCATCACTCATCTCAAACTCCGAGTTTGCCTCTCCCTCTTCTTCCCTCTCCATCGCTCTATCTCCAGTACCCTCTTTCCATTCACCACCATTACTAGTACGAGCCTCACTGCTGCTGTTCATCTGAACCAGCCCTGATCCTTCGGGTTGATCTCCGCCGTCCATCTCTCTAAAAAAAAATCCATCCTCTCTGCTGTCGGGATCTGTTTCTGATCGTCCATTCCCGACCCCACGCCTCTCCTCCAGCTCGTTCTTCCCCTTCGCTATAGTCACATCATTCCAGTCGCATCCCTCCCATTCCTCGCACGGCAGAATTATCTCCAACCGCGGATCGCAGGTTGCTGGCGGCAGTCTCTTCCCATTACGCGTTAACGGCCGGCGGTAACTACCACCTGACGGCTGGTAGCTCCTCGCCAGCGAATTATTGCTCCGCTGGTTAACTGCATCATATCTTTCGGTCGGCGGTATCCACCGGCGGTCACGGCCCGTCCCTCGAGAGTATGTGAAGAATGCTTGATGGCCGTCTGTTGACGGGTATTTCCCGTTAGAGAATTGCGGAGAGTGCGACGCGGCTGTGACTGGTAGCCGAACCAGCAATAGAACTAGTAGTGAGATACTGCAAACGATTACAATTACGCCAGCTGAGGCTGCCATTTTGGTGGACACAAGGAGAACTACTACTAGCAGTAGTGGGGCGCGAACTTCGCCGCTTTAGGATTTTTTTCCCCGGAAAAGGTGTTGAGAAACCCACAAACCGCTACTTGAAAATCGCTAGGTATATCACTCTCTTTCGCACACGAGACAGAAAAGTCACTCTAATGCAAACTGACGGGAAGCCGTTAGTTGCAAACATCATGTTCACGCCAAGCTGTTACTAGTCGCAAGCAAACAGTTCACGCTATTGACAAGAGCTATGGCGGCCAGGTTGGATTCAGAAATCCGCTTCGGATAGTGGGTGAAGGTGTTTGTGGGGGCGGGGGGGATGGTTCTCGCTTTGAGTAGCTCACTTTGATTGCCTGGCCTACGTCACTTTCCGTTCTGACATGTAGCTTCGAAGCTGTACTAGGCAGTAGTATGTTTCGGCTTTGACGAGATGCACGAATCCGGTTTCCCCGTTATATTTCGCCGTCACTATTCACCTGGTTGCATTGCCCTGAGGACGCGGTAAAAGTGCAAATATCGCAAGATCGTCTGCAAATATCGAGCCCCACAATCGAGTGGGCAGATCGATTGACGAAACGTGGCGACCGCAACGTTGTAACGATCGCAGCTGAGAATTGACAGATCTCCTGCTATCAGTGATCAGTCGCATTCACACACTGCACAGAAATTGTGGCAAAAAAACGTACTGTAGCATGGTTAAAGCGTAGTTAATAGGGTAACCAATCCGCATATCGATCGCGACTGACGATCGATTGTCTACTTTTACCGCGTCCTGATTGGCTTGCCTGCGTCACAACCCAGTCTGCCTCACATTTCCGGTTTCACGAGATTCGCGAATCGTGTTGCCCCGTTGAATGTTTCCTCGCTGGTAGTCGTGACGGTTTGTTATCACTGTTCATCGGATTGGATTGGTTCACTCATCACCAACACTCTCCAATGAACCGCCTTCATGATGCGTTTCTCAACTCCGACCCTACGATCGATCGTGCAAAATCGAACCCTCCACCTGCATTCCAAAACTTCTAAACCTCTTCCAAACACTCCAAAGATCGAGGAATGAGGGTCACGGTCACTGCTCTCAACAATGATCTCCGCCTTGGATTCTCAATTACCATCAAGCCCGTGAACAGTTCTATACGCGGTGTAGTCAGATGCGCACTAAGGAAGTATATATTTCCCTTGCAAACGTGTGGAAAAACCACGCGGAGCTCTCACAACTTCCTTGTTCTAAGAGGTCCTTACAATTCATGAACCCGAATATGTCGAGTCCTGAACCAGTGGCGGGGAATGCCGTCTCGTCTGTCATCTTTGCTTTGACCAGTAAAGTGGTACGGTAGTCCTTTTCCCCAGGTCAGGTCCAAGATTTCTGGGACCGAAAGCTCAGCGGTCGGCACTTCTGCCTGACTGTTCAATAATTCGTTGACAACATTGCATCTCACATTTAGATCTCAACGGAAGCTATCATCCTCGTTTCGTTGAATTCACGTCAAATCACGTCGAATTAGTCACCTGAGTTCCCGTTTATCACGCCGTCAGCCCCGCATTGCTTCTAATACAACCTTCAATTCTGAAAGGTTTAACATAGATTATCATTTATAGATTAGCCATCACGAGTACAATCATTTCAGGGCAAAGGGGAAGTGAGCTTTTTGACGTCGGAAACGACAGCTTCTGGAGCCAACTCCCGTGTCTGTCTTATCGATCACCAGCTTTTAATCACGACCGTCCGTTTAGCACCAGGGAATCATGGCGATATCGGAGTCCGTCGGCAGGAAGATCGCTCTGAGCTACTTCTACGTGCTCGTTTGGATCGTTTTAAGCTTCTCCGTTATTGTGTTCAACAAGTACATTCTCGACAGAAAGCTGTACAACTGGCCTTACCCTATCAGGTACACCTAGTGCGCGTGTGCTACATCCTTCGCGCCCCATCATCCCACCCTGCCGGCATATTACCCCGCCATTCCACCCCTCCATTTCCACCCCCATTCAAACCCACCATCCCCCCCTTCCCCCCTCCCCGTTCAACTCCGTTTTTTTCGCCCATCATTCGCGCCATTGATCCCCCCATCAGTCGCCCCGTTAATCCGCCCAACATTCGCTCCATCAATCCGCCCATCAGTCGCCCCCTCCGTCCGCTTCATTCCCCTCCCACCCCCCCTCACCGCAGAAGCCTCACAAACGACCTGCTTCTTTCTGTCCAGATGCTTCAACCCCCCCTTCCCGCCTCCCAGTTCGTGCAACTGTTTTGTTTCAAAATTCCTCCCTCTTCTTCCCCACTGCTCATCCCGTTTCCCCTAGTCCCGCTCCCGCCTGCTGTTTCCGCTGCCCCCTTGCTGTTCCCGCTTCCCCCCTGCTGCTCCTGCTTCCCCCCTGCTGCTCCCGCTCCCCCCCGCTCCTCCCGCTTCCCCCTGCACCTCCCGCGTCCCCCTGCTCCTCCCACTTCTCCCTGCTCCTCCCGCTCCCCAATTCTGCTCCTGCTTCCCCCTGCTGTTCCCACTTCCCCCTGCTTCTCCCGCTTCCCCACGCTGCCCTCCTGCCCTTCCCCATCCTTTTTCCTCCCTTGCCTTCCCTTTCCCCACATGGCCTTCTGTTCGCTCCTCTCCTTCCTACCTATTGGTGAAGGTCTTCAAAGTGGTGAGCCCCATCAGTCTCTCCACACAGATGCATCTCACATCCGTTCTGCCCATCTGCCTTCCCTTTCCCTTCAACTTTCCCTCTGTCACGCTCCTTTCTCACTCCCTCCCCTCCTCCCCCCACCAGTCTCACCATGATCCACATGGCCTTCTGCTCGCTCCTCGCCTTCCTTCTGGTCAAGGTCTTCCGAGTGGTCGAACCCATCACCCTCTCCACAGAGATGTACCTCACATCAGTGCTCCCCATCGGCGCGCTCTACTCGCTCAGCCTCTGGTTCTCGAATTCAGCTTACATCTACCTCTCTGTCTCCTTCATCCAGGTGGGTAACCGCTAGTGTTCTGCCCACACCACACCGCACCACACAGCACCATACCACACCTCATCCTCATCCCACTTCACCTCCCCATCGGCGCGCTCTACTCACTCAGCCTCTGGTTCTCCAACTCAGCTTACATCTACCTCTCCGTTTCGTTCATCCAGGTGGGTAGTGGGTAGGTAGTGGGTGTGTGCTGGTTGGCCACATCGCACCACACCACACCACACCAAACCACACTAGACCTCACCACACCCACACCACACCACACCTCACCTCACCACACCACACCACACCACACCTCACCACACCAAACCACACTAGACCTCACCACACCCACACCAAACCACACCTCACGTCAGTGCTCCCCATCGGTGCGCTCTACTCGCTCAGCCTCTGTTCTCCAACTCAGCTTACATCTCCCTGACATCTCCCTGACATCTCCCTTTCCCTTTCGTTCATCCAGGTGGGTAGTTGGTGTATGCTAACTAACACTTCACCACGACACCACACCTCACCTCACCCCACCACACCACCTACAACTCAGCCTATACCTACCGCTCCGTCTCCCCTCATTCAGGTGGGGAGTGGGTGTATGCTGGCCACACCACATCACAACACACCTCGCTTCACCTCATCTCATCTCTCCTCACCACACCTCACCACACCTCACCTCACCATACCTCACCTCACCACTCCACACCACACCACACCTCTCTGTCTCCTTCATCCAGGTGAAGAGTCGGTTGGGTTGTGTGTGTGCTTTGACTGTGGTCTAGTCTGACGCTGATTCCAACTCGAGGGCTGGCCACACTACCACACCACACCCCATTCACCACGCCACACCACACCACGCCACACCACACCACGCCACACCACACCACGCCACGCTGCATCACACCACACCCCAACCTCCCCAGACCACACCACATAACACCACCTACAAACTCCCCACACCGCATCACACCACACCACAACCTCCCCACACCACGCCACATCACCCACCTACGACTGTCTCTTCATCTACCTACCTACCTCCATCTCCTCCACCCCCCTTCCCCTCCCATTCACTCACCTCTCAGATGCTCAGGGCTCTCATGCCTGTCGCCGTCTTCTAGGGGTTCTTTTCACCCGAGAGGCCTTCAGTTCAGAACCTCTGCCTTGGCCAACATGGTCTTTTCGCTTCCCCCCCCCATACACCCCCCTCTCAGATGCTCAAGGCTCTCATGCCTGTCACCCCACAGCACTTCCTCTCACCCCCCCCCCCCCCCAAACCCCCCAATACACCCCCCTCTCAGATGCTCAAGGCCCTCATGCCCGTGGCTGTCTACCTCCTAGGAGTTCTCTCCACCCGAGAGGTCGTCCTATCTCCCACCCCACAGCACTTCCTCTCACCCCACCCCCCCAACCCCCCATACACTCCCCACCCCAGATGCTTAAAGCCCTCATGCCCGTCGCTGTCTATCTCCTAGGAGTGCTCTTCACCCGAGAGGCATTCGGAACCTCTGCCCCTTGACTCGTGTGTTCTCTTCTCTCCCACTTCCCTCTCCCGCTTCCACTCCCCTCTCAGATGCTCAAGGCCCTCATGCCAGTCGCCGTGTATCTCCTTGGAGTGCTGTTCACTCGAGAGACCTTCCGTACTTCTGCTTTTGCCAACATGGTAGCCATTACAGTCGGGGTGGGCGTGGCAGCGTATGGGTAGGCGCATTTCCCTTCACTCATCGGTCCCCTCCTCCCCCTCCTTCCCACAACCCCCCATACACACCCCGCTCAGATGCTCAATGCCCTCATGCCAGTCGCTGTGTATCTCGTAGGAGTGCTCTTCACACGAGAGGTCTTTAAAACCTCTGCCTTCGCCAACATGGTAGCAATCACAGTGGGGGTGGCCATGGCAGCGTACGGGGAGGCCCGTTTCCCTTCACTCATCTGTCCCCCTCGCACCCCATCTCCCCCCCTCGGCCCCACACTCTCCCCTCTCAGATGCTCAAGGCCCTCATGCCAGTGGCCGTCTACCTACTAGGGGTGCTCTTCACTCGAGAGGTCTTCCAAACCTCTGCCTTCGCCAACATGGTAGCAATCACAGTGGGGGTGGCCGTGGCAGCTTATGGGGAGGCGAATTTCAACGCCACCGGGGTGCTGCTGCAGCTTGCAGCTGTGTGCTTTGAAGCCCTGCGCCTCGTTCTCATACAGGTGAGCGACAGCTCTAGATTCGCCCTTAGTTCTGAGGCCCGGCCCAACAAGGGTTTTCCCAGCAGATTTGCAATCGCTGTAGGTGTGGCGGTGGCGTGGTGGCGTATGGGGAGGCGAATTTTAGCGCCTGAGTGGTGCTGCGCTGCTGCAGCTGGGGGCTGTGTGCTTCAAGGCGCTACGCCTTGTTACAGGTGGGTGGTTTTCCAGCTTACGGCTTTGTCAAAAGCGGACAGGTGGGCTGCGGAGGCCTTATTTCCATCAACTTTCCAGCTTACGAGTTTTCTACTCATGTTCCCCGTAGAGCCAACAAGGGCTTTCAGCAGGGTGACGATCAGTGGTAGGTAGCCATCACAGTGGGGGTGGCTGTGGCGGCGCGGCGCGTATGGGGAGGCGAATTTCAACGCCTGAGTGGTGCTGCACCCTACCCTAAACCCCAACAAGGGCTTTCAGCAGGGTGACGATCAGTGGTAGGTAGCCATCACAGTGGGGGTGGCTGTGGCGGCGCGTATGGGGAGGCGAATTTCAAAACGCTTTTATTATCCTTGGGCTTGGAGGCCCAACGCCTAGTCAAACGGCCTCATACATTTGAGCTGCTGCGCGTCAATCAAACGATGTTGCTGGGTGTTCCTGAGAATTCTGAAAAAACACCTTGGAGGGCCAACGCACAGTCAACTCCCAAATCCCATTTCCCCCCTCCCCCCACCTCATTTCTCCCTCCACACCACAGATCCTCCTGACAGCCAAGGGCGTCTCCCTCAACCCCATCACATCCCTCTACTACATCTCCCCCGTCTGCCTCCTCTTCCTCTCCCTGCCCTGGATTCTCGTCGAGTACCCCCGCCTCGCTCCCTCCCTCACCATCCCCGCTCAACCTGCACTCGTGCTTTTCCTCGCCAACTGCGCGTGTGCCTTCTCGCTCAACCTCGCCGTGTTTCTGCTCATTGGGAAAACGTCAGCTCTCACAATGAACGTAGCAGGTATGCATTATGTGCAAGCCTTCAAGCTACATGCAAGGTACGTATCGCTCTCCCTCGCTCACCATCCCTGCTCATCCTGCACTCTTCCTTTTCCTCGCCAACTTCACCTCTGCTTTCTCTCTCGCCCTCCCCTCTAAGCCTGCCATCGTGCTTCTCGTACCCAACTGCACTGCACATGGAATGGAAGGTACATTGCTGGTACGTGGAAGGTAGATGGCAGGTAGTAGGTACGTTTAGCTTCCTCTCTCGCCCTCCCCTCTAAGCCTGAAACCGTGCTTCTCGTACCCAACTGCACTGCACATGGAATGGAAGGTACATTGCTGGTAACCCGTTTCTCAGAATCATCCCTCCTGCTCTTCCCTCCTATGCCACATAGCGTCTCGTGCTTTGCTGACGTGGCTGAGTTGCTTCAACAATAGGACCCGCTGTTAATAGGTCCAATGGAGCCCCAGACTGGAGCCACGAATCAGTCGCTGCCACGTAGCGACATGGCTCCAGTCCGGGGCTCCATTGGACTGACGTGGCTGAGTTGCGTTAACAATAGGACCCGCTGTTAATAGTATTCTTAATAGCTGATCCTCGGCGATCCACTATGATTTTTGAGTCGACTCAAAAGTCATGACGTGGCTGAGTTGCTTTAACAATAGGACCCGCTGTTAATAGTATATTTAATAGTTGATCCACGACGATCCACGATGATCCATGTCGATCCACGACACCACATTCATAACGCCACAGTAGTATAGTAAGCCTTGTTCAAAATCCTAACACTGTTTCATCCCCTTTATTGTGTGTCTCAGGAGTGGTTAAGCACTTCCTTGCTGTCGGTTATCCCCGATCGAGCCATGCAAATCTAACCTCGTTCCAAAATGTCTTACCTTTATTCGCCCCCTTTATTGCGTGCCTCAGGAGTGGTTAAGGACTGGCTGCTGATTGCATTCTCGTGGTCGGTGATCCGCGATCGAGTCACGGCAATCAATCTGATTGGCTACCTTCTGGCCTTCGCTGGGGTCTGCTGGTACAACAGCATGAAGCTACAGGTACAGTACATTCAACCCTCAGTGCTATGATATAAAACGGATCCAGGTGCTGTACATGAACTTATAGATACAGTAAGAAGAAGGTACAGGTACACTTAAAAAGAGTACAGGTGCCATGTTATGATAGAATGCAGGTCTTGTACGAGCAAATACATGTAGGGTACAAGGTACATGTACAATGATATGAATAAAATGTAGGTACAGTAAGTTGTGATTACAGATACTGATGTATTGTCTTGTTGTGTTCACCTCACTGTGCTAAACTTGATGGTGCACTCTACACTTTACAAAGGATTCCCTGAACCATCATTTTCTGCTCTTCCGTTCCTTCCTGGGCTGCTGCTGCTTTGTATCATATAGTGGAATTTGCACCCCTTGCTTTGTTCTGGAGCCTTTTCCCTCGATGATGCCCGCCCTTTGTTTCATCCGCTTCTCTTTCACCGTTACTTCCTTTCTCCCCGCCCCAGGAAATGAAAGCAAAGGAGACTTCTAGGAAGCTGCAGCAAGAGCAGGAGCAAAGCCAGCAGGGAAAAGCGGGGGACGAGGAGTCAGGGCATTTACTGGGTGGTTCTGAGTTGACTCAAAGGGAGATGACTCAAATGGAGGAGACTGAAAGGTCCTCGGAATCAGCTAACTCGACAGGAAAACCAGCAGGGGGAAGTGGATGACAAGGAGTTGGGGCGTTCATTGGGCGGTGCTGAGTTGACTCAAAGGGAGATAACTCAAGGGAGATGGCTCAAAGGGAGATAACTCAAGGGAGATGGCTCAAAGGAATCTCACTGAAAGGTCGCTGGACTTGGGGGATTCAACAGCCTAACAGCAGCATGATTACGTGTACCACTGATGTATCACAACGCGGTTGTTTGAATGAACAATCGGTTATATGACATATAGTCATGGTTGTTCTGTTTGTGTTAGGCTGAATGCCAAGAGTTTACAACTGGGTGCTCTCGCTTGTGTGAGTTGCTTGTTGTTGTTGAGCAAAATGTGTTGGTGTATTTACAAAAGTAATCCGACAAAGACAGTAACGTAAAAATCTCTAATGAATATACGTGCAACCTGTTGAGATATGAACCTTTATGAGAAGGCATTCCTGTACGCTGCAGGAGCCGACTCTACCGAGTACGAAGTCGAGGAGTCAGTAGAGTCGAAGCGACACCAGCAACCGTCAGATCAAGACCGGTGCAGGCAGAAACATTCGAAGTGAAAATGGCGGGAACAGGTTTGAAACGGGTTCCCGCGCCGCACGGTTTGAATTCACTGCAATAAGGGAATGTACCCCTTAGAGTACATGGCTAGTCTAGGTCCTTTCGCATTCCTCTGTATTTCCTAAATAGACACGATGTATGCATGCTTTTATTGTCTCAGTAATTTTACAACCACTCTGACCTGAGGTCAACACTTACGCTGCAACACTACCTGCGAACAACCCTGAGCCGATCCCTGGCTAAGTCATGTTTATGATTCTAACATGGTATAAGAGCTACTCGTGGATTCTTCGCATTTCTACTTCCGTAAAATTCGCCGAACCAAAAGCTGGCGAGCGGCACACGCTCCCAAATCAAGATGGCCGGAGCATCCTGAGGCCAAACAAATCTTACGGCCGAAGGTCAGGCTACCCCGGCTGCGACAACTGAGGCGACAACTACGATCGGCACAGTCGCACTCGAGCAACTGTTTCAACGACTACCAACAATGGAGAAAGACCTCCAAGCGTTGCGGAATGGCGACGCGGGAACTGTCAAAAGTACGAACGAGAATGAATGAACTATGAGCAAGATGGGTACAAGTAGCAAGCCCTAATTGGATTGTACCTCATATAAGTTTGACACACCCCCATAGGCAAAATGGGGGAGAACAAGGGGTCACAAGACCAGTCAAGAAAAGCAAAGCAAGCTCAGGGTGGATCACGAAGTCACCACACACTCTGAGCACAAGCAAATGGCCACAAGGCCAGTTCACATGCAGAGTTATATAAATGGGAACAAGCAGTACAGTGATCACAACCTAGCAAGTGTAAGCATGCAGGTATAAGTATATAGATCACAGTACAAGCAAACTCACGAAATGAGCAAGTGAGACCAAGTAGGCACAAGGCCTAAAACAGTACAGAAACGCTGATGATCACAAGGCTGAAGTGCCTTGGTGAATATATCAGCAGTGTTGGCCCGAGAGGCCACGTAAGCAAGACGAAGCTGACCACGCTGCTGCAACTCTCGAGCAAGGAAGTAACGCAGAGCGATGTGCTTCGTTCTGTGCTCCAGTCTGTGCTCCTGACACAAGGCAATCATGGCCTTGTTGTCGACGTACAAAACTGGAGGAGAACGAGGCGGATCTCCCAAGTCGGTCAGCAGGTAGGTGAGCCTTCGTAACTCCTGTGCAGCCATGGCCCCTGCGTAGATCTCAGCCTCACAACTGGAACTGAGAACAAAAGACGAGCGGGTAGACCGCCAAGAAACAGAGCCGGAGACAAGGCTGAAAGTGTAACCCTGTGACGATCGCTGCGTAGCCAAGTCGTCAACCCAAGAGGCGTCTGTGTGTCCAGTGAGGACAACTGGACCCCGTCCTCCAAGCACGAGCCCCATGCCCGACGTACTGCACAAGTAGCGCATCACCCTCTTAGCGGCCTTCCAGTGCTCTGGTAGGTGTCTCCCGGGCGCAACGTAGCGTGCCAGGATGCTAAGAGGGTAGGCAAGGTCAGGTCGAGTGCAGGTCATCAGGTACATGAGGTAGCCCACAAGCTCTGGATACGGGCCACTCGGCTCTACGGACTCGTCCGAAGGTGGAGCTGAGAGTGAGCGACCGGTAGGCAGAGGAGTGGACTGTGGCGAGGAGTACTGGAAGCGGAAGCGCTGAAGGACCTGCTGCACCATGTGTGACTGAGTCAAGGTAATGGTGCGCCGTGCTCTGTCCCGGGTGATCTGCAAGCCAAGATAGCTGCGCAGCTCACCCAGGTCTGTACACGTGTGTCTCTTCTGCAGCTCCGACTTCACAAGGGCCAGTCCCTCAGTGTCAGCAGTGGCAAAGACCAAGTCGTCGACGTAGACGAGGATGTAGAACGGCGGCAGCAAAGTGTCGGTGCGTAGAAACAGCGACGGGTCAGCAGTGGAAGGAGCAAACCCAAGAGCTGCAAGAGTCGTCCTCAGTGTGTCGTGCCACTCGCGAGGCGCCTGGTGGAGACCGTAGACTGGCCGCCGGAGGCTCCACTGGGTACCTGCAGGAAACGACCCAGTGAAGCCAGGTGGGCGGCGCAGCCAGATCTCCTCGTGCAGGCTGCCCTGTAAGAAAGCTGTGCTGAAGTCAAGAGAGTGAAGCTCGTAGTCACACTGAGCGGCGACGTGCAGCAGCACCCGAAGAGTGGTCATCTTTGCGGTAGGGGAGAAGGTCTGGAAGAAGTCAACTCCATGTCGCTGACTGAAGCCTCGAGCAACGTAACGCGCCTCGAAGACAGGTGGAGAACCCGGCGGCCGCTTCACCCTGAAAATCCACATGCCACTGACGATGTTCGCCCGAGGTGGGGGAACCTCGTCGACGTAGGTGCCTGTGGACTTCCAGGAAGCCATCTCTGCGTCCATGGCTGTCTGCCACTGAGAGGAGTAGGGACCCTCAATCGCCTCTACGTAAGAGCGCGGGGTCGGGATGTCTGGTGCATCCGCGTCTCCCTCAGGTGCAATCAGCATGGACACGAGATGAGGTACAGCAGCTGCAAAACACTCAAAGTCCTCCTGCCTGTCCTCAAGGACGTCCGTGCCAAGAGCACACTCACCCCCGACGGACGGAGGACAGACAGACTCAGACACAGCAACAAGACTAGCAGCGTAGTCAAGGCGACAGGCGGCAGCAAAGTCAACAAGCTCAGCAGCTAGGGCAGACGCAGCAGTGGACTCAAACGAAGGGTCTGTGACAACAGTGGCTAGAAGACGAGTGACAGTAGGACTGGCAGCACGAGCAAGGTCTGACGGCGGGTCAGGAACGTCAGGAAGAGAGGACGCAAGAGGAGACGGCAGAGGGACACGCTGTGGAACAGAGGAAGGACGAAGGGCCATCTGGTGCGTGCCGGAGACAGGAGGAGGACGCTGACGCGGAACACGGCGACC